AACAAAAAACCACGCAAATCTAAAACTTCTTGAATTCAAGCATTTTTTCAGAAAACTGCAACATTTCCTTATCGATGGTTCACTTTCTAAAAAGGTCATTTAGTTCTCTTTGGAATGATGTAAAAACGAGCGTTTGCTTCCGAGAAACATGCAAAACGGGACGGAAAACATGAAATTTTGCAATAATCTTACGCCACCCTTGCACAAAACGGCGATAATTTTCCTGATTTCATAGACAACAGAAGACTGTATTTTTTCTACATAACCCCCCCCCCTGAATTTAAAGCTGGATCCGCCCCTGATTCCATCCAATCATCAAATGTGTGCAAACCTGATGATGGTAAAACATTAACGACGTGCAGAAAAAGCAACAGCAAATTCCTGCTGGAAAAAGTTGCCGGCTCGAAAAACTAATTACCGTAATTATCTGCCTACAAAGTGGAGTTGTATTCAATCAATAAAAGGACACATGGCGTGCTGAAGGGGCCTAAAGAGCGAAAATTCCAACGGCCGGTCACTCAACTTGGACGTGTTGCATATTAAAGAGAAATTTCAGGCATACCCGAAAGTTCAAGGTATGCGTAACCAATCATTTGTGCGAAGAAAAGGGACAATGACTTCGGATATTACTAAATACCGTGCTGAACCTGAGGATTTTCTGCGGGTACCGTTAAATCTCGACGGCGAGTCACCCGAACGACAGCTTTGATGGCGTGTTATTAAAACTGAGTCAACAGCTCGAAAACACCTTTAAGAATCCTTCACTTTGCGAATTTCGAAAATATCGTTTCTAGGCCGCACATCCCCCCAAAATCGCCCTAGAATAAAATTTCGTTTCGTCTAGAATAAATTTAATATCCGCGATATTAAATTCCCATTTCTATACACATTTCCGGATATAAACGCGGTCGTATTCTCTCCTCGTCCGCATCGAATCGGCCCCATATCTGATCCGTTACACTGAATGAAAAGTTTAATGGCTCGACAAGATGCCTTCTGAAATAATAGTGGGCCTTAGCATTAGCAGGGGAAGAGAAATTTATCGTTTTTTTCTCGTTTGCAGACAAACCCTTTACGATATTTGCGCCCAAAAATTCACCAACCAGTCGAGCCGAGAATCTCCTGCAGCAACCAGAGCTGGTAAAGAGGCTGCTTTTGGACCACGTTATTCTCTCCAGCAAACTGGATTTGACCAATCTGAGCACTTCGGATGTCTCGCTGCCCACTTTGGGTGGACGAACAGTGACGGTACGAGTGGATCCTAAGGGGGTCGTTACTGCCAACAACGTTACAGTGCTGGAGAAGAAAATTGAAGTTCCCAATGGGTGAGAATGGAGTTCTTAACAGTAAACAGTCTGGATATACTAAATCCTGTTGTTAAGCTTACAAAAGATAATAATTGCATGGAAATAGATAACAGTAATTTCTCCAAAGTTTTCGATAAACTGCCTAGACACGAAACACTTACTAACGTGGCTGTTCCCTATTGCGAATGGGTTGCTAATGTAAATCTCGAGCCAAATGAACGAAAATGTTTCCTGGCAAGCCCTGCACCAACTAATAGATTCCCGGTCTAATGAATGTATTTATCTAAATTGCAGAATTCTCGTTATCGTCGACAGCTATCTGTTTCCAGACGAGGAGCCCATAATGAGGAACGGATCGGTCCAATTGCCCTCACCCTCAATCGGGAAACACGCAAATATCAGGCCGCTTTCGGCCGTCCTGGATCCGAAAGAGGCCGGCAAGAATCAATCGAACACGTCGTTTGTGGAGAACGTGATGGAAGTGCTGTCGTTCCTCAAGAGCCGCGTTAGGGTCTTCCAGCACTTCGTTTCCAGGTCAAATGTGTCCCGATTACTCAGAGAAGGTAAAGCGACTTGTTTTGGTTCAGTTTTAGTCCGAGTACTTTGCAACCGCATTGTTTGAAAGGACATCGACTAGGGAGTAAATCAGCCGAGAGAAGTGGGCGGGGTTTTATAACAGTCGGCCGAAACGGTATTCTTGAAAAAAAAATTGAGAGAGTACGACCCAGTAGAGGGGCATCTCCCCGGGTTTTCCAACCTCAAATCGTATTTGTTTATGTTTTGTATCTGAGGAACGGGTGTATCGATCTTTTTGGCGAGTTGTGCTTAATTTAGTTTTAAAATGCAAGTTGAGAAATTCGATAATATTATATTAAATGACATGATAACTGAGGATGTGGATGATGCTACGGAATAATTTGGGGTTCCACAACATCCCTGGGACAAGATTTCATTTGATCTAACAGACCATAAATTTGTAAGGCTGTTTAGAAGTCCCGAAAATCTTTGTACATAGTTGGTGGAGATGGTATTTTATTGTTCATTAAATATACATTCGTTATGGATCCTACACGAGAATAAGCCTTGTCATTTGGGACCTGCTGTGGACAAATTRCGGGACAAGGAGCGATAGCTTCTTTGATTTTTCACAATTTGCAATGGATTCCATTGTGCTATTCTATTTTTCCTGAAAGGTACATTTACTTCAGTCTCTTTAGGGAGCATAGACTCATTTTCCAATTCATTATAAAGTGCTGAAGGAAAGCGGCTACATAAATGAAATTACCCTTTTACTTTCAATTTGGTAAATGAATATCCTTAAGCAGTTAAAACTGTATTCATTTCACTGGTACATTACCTTACCTCAATCGGACACAGAAGCAATGAACCATGCTTAAAAAAACAAAAACCAATTTTTAATAAGTATCTATAAACGGTTTGGAAATAAATACTTAATCTTAGTTAAATCTTAGCTTAGATAAAGACAAATACATGATTCTTAGATGTCTGTCTCTTTTAAAACCAAAGGTTGGTACGAGTTCCACCACAATAGTAAATAAATGACGTTGGCGAGCATGTCAGAACGTCAACATTTTCTCAATTTTGATTGGTCAGATAAGCTGGCAACAGTGCTTGCAGGGACTGCGTGTTCACTGTCATTCCCTATCATTCAAGAATACTATTTTTTTCCGCTAGGGATAGACACACTGATAGAATGTTCGAATCAAGTCTTTCCCGAAAGATACGGGCTGAATTCTTCAGCTCTCGGACTAAGCAGAGGTCACGGTTGTCTCAATAATGCGTGACGATGAGGTGAAAATGCGTGCGAGGGCCCTTTCCATTAGACTGGAAATTGATTTAAATAGCCTGACCTTTCCATTTATTTTCCTGGACAGAATCAAATTTGAATTAGATAGGGACAGAATGGGGCTTTGTTCATGGATAAAGGCAAAATGGAAAAGGTTTTGGTTTTATTGCGGGCATTTCAGCGAATATGCGACCGGATGTTTTCCACTAAGTGGTCATTTTTCGGTTTCGGTTCCAAAAATATGCTTAGCCAGCAGTAAATGCAATAAAGCGAAATTACATGATGCGACGGTAAAAAATGCAATTAGTACAACCAAATGTTTAATAAATGCAATGCAATTTTATGATATTTTTAGGAAAAATTCAACTGTTGCTAATCGAGAGCAAAAGATGCAATAAAATTGAAACAATTTCCAGGTGAAGAATACACTGTGTTTGTCCCGACCGACCATGCGTTCCAACGATGGCACCCCATCGACTGGGGTTTTTACCCCTTTAGTGTTCCGGAATTCACCGAGAGCGTAATCGTTAATCACTTCGTCAAAGGAAGACTCAAGCAGGAAACTATCCGGGATGGCCAAGTGGTGCACACGCTGGGAGGAAAAGAAATCCTTTTTAAAAGGACTCGTAGGTATTTTTCACTTTTTATTTGCTTAATGCAACCCGTTGGCTTTCCGCTTCACTAGACTGATGTGACCGGTTAAAATTATCATACACCACAAACTTTTATTGAGAAAAAATATTTGTTCCAGTTGCCAAATAAAAAGTTCTCGTGGTTTTTAAAGATATGCAACTGATCAAGGCAAGGATATGTTAACGCGAGTAGGTACTTTTTCGATATAATTTTAGGCCCGCGATAACTTTATGTGCTGGGATTCATCGAGTATTAAACAGAACTAATATACCTAAATGATGACCACAAAAACGAGCGAAAAGCCAGAAGGCAAGTGTAACAAAACTTATGGGAATTTTACTGAATAATGAAAAAACTCTCAAATATCAAAAGAGATAGACTTTCGAGGCCATTCCTTGAAACTAATGGGTTTTTCGGGTTTTTAGGCCGTCGTTCGGTAGAATTTCTTCTTGACGTTTCGCAAGCACGAGTGGCTTGCATCTTCAGAAGTGGTTTGCTTCCAGTGGTAAGCAAACCCAAGGCGGCATTCAATTCATTCAATTTATTCAATTCTCTATCCAACTATGCCAAAACGAATTCTCTGGATCGAATGGTTCTTGAGAAACCTCGAAAAAAGCAGCGTCATGTTCAAGTGGATTTTGCAACTCAAAGAAAACCACGCAAATCTAAAACTTCTTGAATTCAAGCATTTTTTGAGAAAACTGCGAACATTTCCTTATCGTTGGTTTCCTTTTAAAAAAGGCCATTTATTTCTGTCTAGAATGATGTACAAATGAGCGTTCTTGCTCATTTGGCCTCCGAGAAATGAGCAAAAACGGGATGGAAAACATGAAATGTTGGCATATTCTTGCACCTAAGTGTCTGATATTCAAATTTCGCTTTCTGGGTCAAAACTACTCGAATTTCCTCACTCGCGTTGTTACGACTGAATTGACTTTCCAATTCTCTATCCAACGATGCCAAAACGAATTCTGTGACTCGAATGGTTCTTGAGAA